TGAGGTTTGGCCCAGGATCGGGCAGTGTTTCTTTCTGCTGTGTATAAGGTCACTATGGGTCGGTACCTACTCAATGGCACCTAACAACAACAACAAGCAATGGAGGGAATGAAAAGTGAGTAAATTTGGAATTAGAGTCAACAGAAATGAACTGGTGGGTTGGATGTGGGATTTGAAAAAAAGGATGGAATAAAGGATAAACTCTTAAATTTTGCCTGGCAACTGGGTGAATGGTGATGGCATTAACTGAGGTGAAAAACAAACAAGCGAACAGAAAATCAGGGGGAACAGATTTGTAAGAATTTGTAAATATCAATGGTTTTATTTTGCACTTATTAAGTTGGAAGCATCATTTACATTCTAGGTAAACGTTGAAGAAGCAGGTGGGTGTTCAAGTGAGGCATTCACAGAGAGTTAAAATTGGAACTAAGTCTTGTGATTCAGTGTTTAAGCTACTATACATAATACTCAAGATAATGAGACTGGAAGAAACCATTTGGGAGATAGAGAATAAAGAAAGTCCCACTATAAAGAAATCCAACTTTTGGAAGTCTGACAGAAGAGGAAAAGCCAGTAAAGACAAGTGATTAAGAAATTGCTATTATGGTTGTTAGGTGCCTTGCAATTGGTTTGCAGTTGGTTAGTGACCCTGTGTGACAGAGTAGAACTTCCCTGTAGGATTTTCTTGAAGCACTCAATAACACCAACTTTTGAGTTAGGGTGTTGGAGGAGAATAATGAAAGTGCCATGGGCTGCCAAAAGAACCAATAGATCCATTTTGGAAGAAGTGCAGCCAGAGTGCTCTTTGAAGGCCAGGATGGCCAGACTTCATCTCTCATACTTCGGACATACTGTCACGAGGGACCAGTCACTGGAGAAGGCTATCATGTTTGGTAAGGTGGAGGGTCATAGAAAAAGAGGAAGACCCCCCAATGAGATGGATTGGCCAAGTGACAGCATTGATGAACTCAAGCATGCCAACTGTAGTAAGGTTGGCCCAGGATCAGGCAGTGTTTTATTTTGCTGTGCATAAGGTTGCTATGAGTCGGTACCGACTCAACGGCACCTAACAACAACAACAACCATAGGGAAGACATATTGAAATTAGACTTTGCCTGTGTAATCTCAATAAGGATTATCTGTTTAATAAAATACTGCTGTAGAAAGATATCTAAATCTCTGCTATAAAATTGTGAGTGGGAGGAGACTAAAATCCTGGGAACCCCACTTTGGAGAAAACACAATTCCTGTAAAAGCATACATTTTGTTCTTGCAGCTTCCAGAGGAAGAGATGAAAACTGCTTAAGAGTCAGGAAGGAGACCTGGCCTAATCTTGGACAAGAAATAAGACTTTGTATAATCTCAATAGGGGAATACACATCAATACATCTAATAGATGCAAGAGCTGAACAGGAAATTTCAAAGATCAGCTCGAGAAGATAAAGCCAAATACTATAATAAAATATGCAAAGATTTAGAGTTAGAA